TCGAGAAAATATCAATGATAATTACCGTGAAGAGATTCCTCGTAAAGAGGTTCGTAATGAGGCACATAAGCAGCTCTCGCTGGCATCGCTGCCATCACGGGAGCGCGTATAGTTCCTCAAGAAACTATGAATGATTTGCACTAACATCTTGTACCGGGAGAATACTTTGAATGTTTAGCTTGAGCTCCATAATTATCATCAGAAATATTCTGTTATGTACATTCTCGAAGAATGTCGTTCTCCCACTGCGATAAAGAAAGTGAGGTAAACGATTACGATTACTGTGATACAGGATGGCATCCGCAGGATGGAGCAAAATTCCTGCGTTTTCGAATACCCGCACTCCATAATTATCACTCTACAAAAACGATCAAGGACTCTCGTAGGCTTCTATGCCGTGGTTGCCGACGGCGTGCATGACTTGCAGCCGGACGCGACTAGCAAGCGAAGATAGTTTAATACCATGGATGCAATGACACTACCGACACGTTTATTTACTCAATAACAACGGCACAGAACATCAAAACTAAGGAAATATTCGCGCAGTTGACACAAAAACAAGAGAGACTGGGATCTATTCCCACTTAAGAATAGTGCTGGACTTCGAGAAGACCTCAACGCAGCCAGGAAGATAGGCTCAAGTGCCTCAGTAGAGGGATGCGGATTCCACCTAGCGATGGCTTGGAAAAGGAAGAAGGACACATTAGGTCGGCAAAAGAATTACTCGACACCTAGAAAAAATACAATGACATAGGCCTCATGGAACGCATGAGCTCTATATTAAGTGGTGCTCATCCCCTATAATCGTGGTGGAAATACCGCAAGAAGCAGAACTGCATATAGGTTCGATAAAAGTAGCTTCGCGAGTAAACACAAGCAACCTGACTATAGAGTTAACGATAGCTTTACTTGTTATTGGCTATATTATTTACTTTTACCGTTCGAGATCACACGCCTTTTGTAAGTTTTAGTCAAATCATACGCTTACGAAGCCTTGTAATCAGTCTAATAATAACAATGATCGCAACCAGACTTTTGCAGAAGATGATGGATGCAAGTGGGGGAAACCAGCCAAAAATTCTTATTTTACAAAAATCTATATTGTGTTATGCTTGTTATTTTTGCTATTTTTCATCACCACCGTCATTGCATAGGCTAAATAAAGAGAGCAAAGAATGATGGAGATGGGAGCAAAGAATCAGACTAATCAAGGAGTCGCATAAGAAACTGATTAGTATTGTACCAACTGAGTAGTTGCAACTCAAAATCGTTGTTGATATTTGCTAGCTGTTGCGACAAAACCTTTTCCCAAATTTTCGTCCTGCACGCCTGGAACGTTCACTCTCACTTGATTCAAATATCTTCTTATGGCTAAAAACCCTTCCTTCTTAGAAGTACTAGTGTATTCTGAGCAACTCAATATTGCAAATGGCCTCCCCTCTTCGTTCATTCGCTGGATATCGCAAAGTTTTGGAGGTGGGAGATGCGGCGAAGGCAAATCTAGATAGACTAAAGAGCGAGCACATCATAAGGTTTACGCCCAAATTGGTACGAAGGTCTGTGGAGCATTATAGTTCGATTTTATGATATGTTTGTCATCACGAAAAAAAGCAGACATGTTTTATCCGAAGAATCCAAAAGCGGGTGGAGTTACTATGTTGTTTGTGGCAAACAGAGAGAATACCGACTTGCCAAACATCTTGCGCATAGTGAACGTCTTGTAAAAATTTAATGGATTACAGGGTACGTTAACATGATTTATTCCGTGTGCTGCTATTCTTGATACATTTTAGGTCGCTATGCAGCTCGGGCGCGGCATCACACTATATATGGGAAGAGCAAAAATAAACCTAGACGATGTGCGCGGATCAGTGGCGGAAGGCGAATGGGGAGTGTATAATGACTTTGTACATCAACTCAGGAAGTGCGGCATACCGACAGATGATGTAGGTTTACTTACTGCATTAACAGGCTCATTTTAACTTCTATCACTAGCTAAATTGCGAGTTAAACGATGTTTCACAGTAATGTGGATAAACCACTGATCGTCAAAATATGGCCGGAAGGAGAGGTGGAGGTGCTGGTTGATGAGGCCGTAAGTGCAAATAATGACCAGTGATTGTGTTGCAGAATAAGGATCTTCTGCATAAAAGCTAAGTTTTCATAGGTAGCAAGGTATCAAGTCCGTGAGTAAAATGTAGCAGAAGCGCAGGCAAGAATAGATCCCACCAAAGGTTCCTTTGCAGAGCGACGTTCACAGGCGAACAAAGACTGGGTGTGTGCAAACCTTTGCAAAGCCGTCGGATAGGGAAAGTAAAAATTCAGCAACAGATTCGAACGCAGTTACTGAAATCCAAGAGCAAAACGCAAGTAGTCAAGTCCATGACAGAAGAAACAGGACGCAATGTAGAATCCAACATCGCTTCTGTTTCTCAAATCCAGAAGACAAGAAAAGATTGGATTTCCTTTTGCGACGCCTTCAAGCTGGTGATAGACGTTGCACCGACGGATACGCCGAAAACAGATCGAGCGCGCAAGGACATTTCTAGTTCTGAGAAAGCATCGACAAAGGAGATTTCACTCCCTGTGCTACCCGCAACTTTCGCAGCACCGCGTGTGGACAAGCATTTATTGTACAATTAATTTGCGACGAGCGATAGGTTGGTGCAAAATCCAAATTTGTTGTGCCTAGACTTTATTTTATTTCAAAACATGCTTTCGTTGAAGGAGGTCCAAATGTTGCTGACGTAATCAAAATGACACCGAAAAAGGAGCATGTAACCATGAATCACATTCTTTTGACCCGAAATATTTCGAACAAGACAAAAAATGAGGAAGGTAAGTCTCTGAACGTAAAAGTAACAAAAATGTACGCAATCACAGGGCGAAGTTGGATAAGAATCCCAAGCCTTGGCGCAAGGTGATAGAATCACATCCACTGTTGCAGAATTCTGCAAAAAGTATTCAAGAGTTAATTTATTATGATACATATGGTAGATAATACTAATGCTATATGTTTAGCCAAATATCTCGAAATACAGCTGAAGAGAAAACCTGGTAAGGAAGGCACCTGGGCTATGTACAGTACATCGACCGATTCATGCTTGTCGCTATGAAATCACGGCAGCGGTAGCGCGAATTTATCTTATCATGAAGATTTTCGTTAAATTTAATATCGTCACAGCTTCTTTGCAATAAAATAAGAGCAAATCTGTTTTCTCCAAGTTTATATGATCTAAGTAGAGTTTGCTAGCTTCCGGCCACTTGTCAAAAGGCACAATTGAAATTTAAAAGAATCAAACCACATTTATCTGAAATTCTCAAACTCATATCTGAAATCTAAAAGAATCAAACCACATTTATCTGAAATTCTCAAACTCTTCACTAGTCTACCACGTAACGAGGTAAAGACTAATCTCAAAAAACTTATAACACTATGTATGAGATTCTTTGTGTATATCAGGGTATGTAATAGAAAATTATCTTATACAAATACAGACACACTACACGGAAAGCTTTCCAATTAGAGGAATCTATATGATAGACTCCTTGTTAGACTCTATTATATGATAGACTCCTTGTTAGACTCTAGTTACTTAATGGGAGAGTTGTCTACCGAAGTGCGTGCAGCCCATAAATGGCCGACCTAACATTGACATATATGGAATATGAAATGAAAGACTAGCTTACATCAGACAATTCAAGATTTTCATTTGAAAATGCTTAAAGATACATTGATGACATACTCCGTGTATTCAATGAGCAGGAATAAAGAGTTATCAAAGATATATGATACACTAGAGATAGAAAAAACCAACAGTAATCGTAAAATCACCAACTTCTTAGATCTACACATAAACATTTTTGATAAGTTAATGAAATTCTTTATAAAACGGATAACTATAATTTTGAATTTATTAGATATCCTCATAGGATCCAACATACCAAGGTATATACTAATAAACAGATTATCGTGTGAGGTATTTGGAATTTACAGAAACTGCTCGAGTTACCTGGAGGTCAAGGATAGAATTGAGTTAGCTAGAACATCTCTGAATTATGGATCGAAGTGCGGGTATTTTATGAACATAAACATACAACAGCTATGATAAATAGGCCTTTCATTTTACGTAAATTTGGATTTGCAACAGCGATACATCTTTCTGATGCACGAGCTACGCGCAATATGGACCAATGCTAATGCGCTAGGATGACTTTGCAAGATAAATTCAAATTCGAATTCATACATGTCACAGTATCTGTCACAAGGTCTCATTCACGGGATACCCTAGCTCAGACAATCGCCGGGGGCAGGCTGGCACCGGAAAAATAGTGCTGATCTCTCGCACCCCGCTCGCGGATTTTTTGGAAAGCAATCAGGACTTTTCGGAAGACCGCTTGCTGAGTTCTCGATTCCTCAGAGATTCAGCAATATATCTGCAAAAGATAAGAGAGAAAAAAATTCAACAGGCGGTCTCTCAAAAATCCGCTGATTTAGCAAGCGGTCTTCCGAAAAGGTCTTCCTGATTGCTTTGCAAAAAATCCGCGAGCGGAGTGCGAGAAATCAGCAATCTATTTTTCCGATGCCCGCCTGCCCCCAGCGATTGTCTGAGAGCATGCCTGCTGCATTGTAAATCATTTGTTATTCCGACTTTACTTCTTTTGACTTATGTCGTCATGGGATCAGGATGCATTACTAACCTTTGAGTCTTTTGAAGCTTTCTTGTGAACTACTGATGAGAGCCGACAAGAAAGCTGTACATCCTTATAGTTCTCAGGCCCGAAATTGGTTGTATGTAAACACATATATCCAAGTGGATATTTTGGCTTCCAATTTTAAGAGTACTCAAATAAATGAACTTCCTTTGTTTTGTTAATGTGTAATTAAGGTAATTGTAAGAGATCCTGGAGATTTTGATGATAGAGTTGGAAAAACACAACCTCATTGGTAGGCTTGAGCTTCTAAACAAGGTTGAGCAGAGCTTCTTTCGTTTCCATTTTCATTCTGGGAGTTTGGAACTGACAGCCATGTAATGGTTCTTCGCAATTCTACGACGATTTTGGCGTCGATGAAGGGCTAATCAATTTCCTACAATCACTGCTCTATCTATATTTCAAGGGAAGGTGGCAAAGCTATGTAGTCGATAGATCAGACCTCTTAGTTTTCACAGGAGTGATCTGAGTGTGATTCGTCTTCTTTAGTCTCAGTAATAGTTGATGAAAGCACAACTTTTGAAAGGGAGATTGATATATGATTTTGGCAAGTAATTCAGTAGTTTGGCGGTTGTATGAAGTAGCATCGCTCTTAAGGACAAAAAACTAGTGATTTGTATTAGTGCAAAAAGAGGCTAACTCAGCTTCAAAACAAAGTTAATCGTGTTTGAAAATGACCATTTCACTTGGGTGGCCCAGTATATGGAAACTCAGAATCCGCTAAAATTTGTAGCAGAAAGGCTATACGACATGCTAATTACAAAAACGTCATTCATTATGCTTGGCGGGGTTTTTATTATGCTTACTGTAAGTTAATGATGATAGGTCAATACATAATGGGTTATCTGACTTACGAAAGTGAAATTTATTATGCTTGGTGAGTCCTCTTTCTTAAGTTCACAAAGTAATTTGGAGCGGTTATGGAGGCATGCTTAAGCGAGGCGGGGGGAGGGGGTCACATCCGCCGGTCGCGTGCCACACCTCTTGCTCGACCATAATTGTAAGTACCATGTCTTTGGTTTTTGGGGGACGAAGTCATCAAAAGAAAGCATGCGAGACTTACGCAGTATTCCGGCAAAATTTCGCTCTCCGCTTTTACCTTTTCGGAGCCTTCTCGACATGCTAAACTCTGGGCATCTGGGCTTTGCAGCGTTAGGAAAATGTCGAAAATGATCTTTTTTGAAACTCTCCATGTCCTCATTCGCTGTAAAATAGGAGGTGGGAGGGGTCCGGAAGACTTAGAGGGCTTTTAGACTCTCCAGACGCGCTTTTTCGTTCCAGGCCTCACTTTAGTTGGAGAGTCTGCCATTGCAACGCTGTAAAATCCAGATACCCAGCATTCTGATGGAACGCTGCCTTTAGTGATGGGACTCTGCTGCGGTGAAAGTTACAGCGAAAAATTGGTATAGGTATATATGTCGTGCATCCACCTATCATCCATCTAGGTATATATGTCGTGCATCCACATATCATCCATCTTGTCGATCCGCTTGTGATCCTAAGAAGTCTAGGCCCTCTACATGGAAACCATCAGCTCCATCACCTGCTACTCTTCACCGTGACTGGTATTTCCAAATTGCACATGGTTATGGTCACGGGTATTAGGTCACTGGAGATTATTAGGTAGTGAAACAGTACCAAAAGCCCGTATGAAGATCTTGTTCGTAGCTTTCTTCCCCAGTTTTCAGAGAGAAGCGAGTGAGTGATATGGATCATGCGGGCACTTTAAGTTATTCTACCCTGAGTTCTGCATTGAACATATATTCCCTTCAAAGAAGTCGCAAATTTGTTGCAGGATATATGCAGTGCGTTTGCATTGCCTTCTTCCACGCAAATTGTAGTGGAAACACACGCACTTTTACTGAAGAAAGAACCAACGTGACGTGAGATTGTAAGGGCTAACTAACAAGGGAAAGTCACTGTTTAGTATCAGCTCGGAACGCTGATTCCAAATATGATGTCTTTAGCTGCGAAGCATTCCTCTGAAGCAAGTTGTGAGCTTTTTTAGTATGTGTCATTGACATATAACTGAATATGGGAAGAGGACCTTTCGATGAAAATCTGCCCAAAAAGTGGTGGAAGATTGGAATAACATCAAATTGAGCCACTTGGCTTTGATATGGTGTAGTATGCATTTGAACCACTACCTAGATGATGATACCGTAGCATGCCTAAGTCGGTCAACACGCAAAGTTTGCTCAAGAGAAAGCACATAACTCGCTTCAGAGTAATGCTTCGCAGCTATGGAAAGCAGATTTGAAATCAACGTTTCAAGCTGATTGCAACTATATGTGTCTCATTTCAAAAGGCCGACCTAAGTTAAGTGACTTCCCTTGTAAGAATATTTTCACATACACATACCAAGGTTGGGAAAGCGCTAGGCCCTCTTTTCTACTATAGTTGTGATCAGACTTGGGAGTGTTGTAAGCAGACACTAGTTCTAGATTTAATTCTGCTTTCGAAGGGGCAGATTTCTTACAAGGGAACGATCCCAACTTAAAGTGGCAAGTTGGAACGAACCGCATACCATTGAATGCGTCTTGATGAGCTGATTCGAAATCTGTCTTCCATATCTGCGACACCGTCATCTGCAAAAAGTTGTGAGCGGTTGAAAATGTGAAGTTATCGGGGTTTTAATGCATAATATGCTTAAAAATCCAACTTGGAAGTGCACGACTAGCATGATATTGAGTGTATTGATTCCAGGGAATGCTCAGACTCTAAAGAAACACAGATAAGTGTTTTTGAGCAGCCAAAAAGCAACTAAAGTTCTTTAAAGCTATGAGCAATGAAAAGTCCAAATTTAGCAAATGTACAGCGCCATACCTCGAAAATTAGCTGTTCAAAAACACTTATCTGTGTTTTTTTAGAATCTGAGCATTCCCTAAAATCAGTACACTCAATATCATGCTAGTCGTGCACTTCCAAGTTGGATTTTAAAGCATATTATGCATTAAAACCCCGATAACTTCACATTTTCAACCGCTCATAACTTTTTGCAGATAACGGTGTCGCAGATATGGAAGACAGATTTGGAATCAGCTCATCAAGACGCATCTAATGGTATGCGATTCATTCCAATTCGCCACCTTAAGTTGGGATCGTTCCCTTGTTAGAGCTGTGAAAATTTAGCGATAACCTCTTGGGAGTTTAAGTGAAGGCAAAACTGGACATGCCAGCGAATTGCTAGCGAAAAGGGAAAATCCATCATTCTTGAGTAAAGCTGGTTTAACTGACCCGAAAGTTCCGGATCAGTATAAACCAGAGCTGGAACTGCTGGAACTGTGCCGGAACTGTATTGCATGCGCTGCAGCAGCCCGCATGCGGTTCTGAGCGGCGGAAGTTTAAGACTTTTGGCCATTTTCAACGGTTTTTCTCTCACACTTAGTCTCATTCTCCTACTCTGCTTCTCCTTATGATAAGGAAAGCTGCAATTTGAAGAGAGTTTGGAGAATGAGCGCAGTTCTGCGTTTAAGTATCCGGAAGGTGCGTCTTCCCGCGCTTTTCCGTTTTCCTTCCGTTGTTTTTTTTCAAATGCTCAGGATGCCGCCATACTTTCCATAGGCATCTCTCTTGAATCGGGACATGCAAACAATTCTGAAAATGCTGAGAATCGGAACCAATGACTAGTTCTGTGATCCCTTTCCTCTTTCCATATTTTTGCTTATCCATTCTTTCTTACCCCGTTTCACGTACTTCATGTTCTAGAAAGCTGTTTATGCCTCTTCCAATACAGATGCGGAACTAAGCAGCGGCTTCCTGGAGCCCATGAAGTAGGTATGAACAAAAATAATGAAGGGAAGAATGGACAGCGTAGGAGGACACATCTTCCCGGATACATAAGCAAAACTGCGGTTAATCCCCAACCCCGCTTCAAGTTCGCAGCTTCTCTTAACACAAGGAGAAGCGGGGTAGAGAAACAGAAGTGAGTGAGATCTGAGAGGAAAACCGTTGAAAACTGTCAAAAATCTGTATCCCCGCCTCCCAGCGGCGAGAAAGAACTGTGCTGGAACTGTTCCGGAACTTCGGGATCAGTATAAACCCAGCCTAAGATGCTTGCTCGAGGGCTTTCGTTGCGGCTGCACTACGCGCACATATTGCTGTTAGATGGCCTGTAATTAGTGTGTGAGAGGAACCCAGAACGAGGAGTTTTACATTTCACTCTCATCATTTTTTATTCATTTTGATACGGAAAGTATTTAATCGAATGTCCAATGTGTCAGATATAGCTTGAGGTAAGTGGAAAATTTCCAGGATCTTTTGGGTCGGAAGTACGATTTTTGCACTTAATGTCGTTCTCAACTACTGTCAAGCTTCAACTTCATACCTTACGTAAAATACGATTTAGGCGGACGATTGAAGCCATCTTATAAAGTTTCCTTTGTTGTTCAGGATGGTAACTCAAACCGCACTGAATAAAGGAAGGAGTTGGTCTCGATAAAATCGGAAAGAAGTTATGAGACAACCTAATTACTTGGTGTCTGTCTATTCCTCCGTGATCCAAGGTAAAGTGTTAGGCGGAACAATATTAACTTATGGTTGCGTGAATCGCTAAATAACTGTATCACCAACTATAATTCGCTAGGTACCAACCAAAGTAAACATTAGGTTATGAAAGCATAGCTGTTTCGATACAAAGTCGACATACAGCTTTGCTGGTTTAATGTAATTTTTACCTTCTACTTTTCTCTAAGTTAAGCTCACACGAGTTAAGCTAAAGCCTTCCATCGAATTGGTTTGTGAATTAATAAAACTTTTATGCATTTTCAATCTTTGGGCCGACGTTGCGTCAATTAACGTGATGAAATTACTTAATGTGCTGAATAAGCAATCAAACTTCGAAGGACAAATTTTGCAGAAATGTCAGATGACGTGTGAAGTTTATGTATCATCAATAATGTGCTGCATACAGATTGCTCACCTAGCGTTTTGGAGAATTCTTTTTGTCACGACTTTCTGAACGCAGCCTTCACTCTAAGAGAAAGTGAAAATACTGATTTTGATTGTCCCAAGAACCAGCGTATCTTTCTTCCATCGTCAATTTGCAAGGTCTTCGTAACTAATGATAAGCCCAAGCAATTTTCTGGTCATGTTGCTTGGTAACCGCTCCCCACAGAGAAATTCTGATAATCGACATCGTTAGCAAGTACAAAAACTCCAGACAAAAAACTTTGATGCGAAATTTATTGCTTTCTTTACTAATTTCAATGTCTGGGCAATTACGAGGCACTGGGGAGTGCACTTGGAAAGCATAATTTGATGAGACGTTGACAATAAAAAACACCTAGTTGACGAGAAGATATGAAGCTGAGCACATCGAATCAGCATCCCGATAATGGAGCAATTCTTGACTGAGATAAAACTAGCACAATCATAGATTTGGTATAATTGTCCAGTAGCGGGTCTGACTCAAAACAAAACATAATATTTCTGGCAAGGCAACACTACATCTCGATATTCGTTCAAAGAATACAACGCGAATCATCTGAGGTCTTACCGCATTCCGATGATCAGCAGATAGAACATAAAAATACAAAAAAAACGAACTGAGAATAAAACAGAGACATGAAATCCACAGCGTTCGATACCCGTGTTTGGCACCAAACACTTCAAACATAAGAATCTATATACATCGATACAGCCATAGTGGACTAGTGAGAAAATAGAAAAACAGAATGATATCCCACTCTCCAATATCAGCATGAGATTCGCACTACACCGAAGTTATTTTGTGACTCTTGCGTTATTAAGTAGTTTTTGTGATAGTAGGTGAAACATGAGCACATTTTGGAGTTCGTCAAGACGGGGGCGATGGTTTCTCAGCGGAACTTTCGCGTTCCGCATCGCTTACGCTTCGACGGAGCATGTGGTCAAGCCTATCCGTAGCACATTCAATCTCCTAAAAAGATTCATTTCAATCATGAAGTTCGCTGGACACGCCGTATTCCACTATGGTGGAGTTGTTTGATCGAAAATGGAAATTCCAAAAAAAACTGGGGAGACTAGAATGTGGTGGAAATGTTGAGATTGAAAGAATTTCTTCCACCACTTTCACTTTTTCTTGCGAATTCATGGATAACATGCTTAGCCTCAAAGTCCCATCCGGATCAGAAATGTTTACCCAAAATTATACCTGTATCAAAGTTGAATGGCTCCGTAACATTCCGGACAATGCTTCATCGTCGGTGAAGCCAAGCCCGGATGTGCGTACGCTGGCTAAGGACGATACCTCAGACGAGTCACTTGGTGAATTCGGAATGCCTTGCGGTAATGATGTTCGATAGCTGACGTCGGATATTGATGGAGATGTCATTCTGAAAAGCACACATTACTTTGCCAACTAGAAGAAAATCACACTAAAGAGCGCGCATATGAGGTAAAGGTCTCACTCTGTGAATTTTACCAAAAATCACAGATCTATGGGGAACAAAAATTTTTGGAAAAAATACTTTAAAGCTTGGAACTCAGTTCTACAGATTTCGCTCAAATGGTCTTCTTCATATTGAAAATTTGGAACCTGCCCCACTGAATTAGTAGCTGGCAAATTGTCAATTTGTGTACCGACCGCAATTTGGCAGAAACACTCACTTTACCTACAACCGGTGCTTGATGCACCTTTTCTAGTGAATGCAATTTCCAGGCATGAAGTAAAAAGATTTTCCTGTTTCTCGCGCTTGAAATGGAACATGTCCATGTGTTTGATCGACAAAAAAACTCACTGAGAACTTGTCGGTGATTCCCTCTTTTCACCACCGCCAATAAGTTGCTGTGCTAGAAGGATTACGCCGGAGCCAATTCCCGCGGGACGTTGAGGCCAATCAGCACAACCATTGGCACGCATTAAGCATAAGACGGGGGCGATCACTTCATCCTAGAATAGCAGCTTGAGTTTCTTGCTCAGGAAAAGTACATCCCAGACATACCGTTTCTTGATTAATCGCATAACGGCCGTCGTCGTCCTCATACGGTGGAGGCGCCGTCGGCTGATATGGTGGGGGATTCGCAGGCGGTTCGCGAGCGGATCCTGCGAATTTACGATTCAGGATGCATCCGGGATGTAATTTTATGCATACGACTTACCGCTTCCGATGCTTCTTTGTTCGTGAATTGAATCGGAAATGCGTTCGAGGTTGCGTAACGACGTGGTATAGTCGCATTTCTTTTGCCGAACCTATAAGATAGGTCTTCAGATCCTCTACGATATTCTGTATGCATGATGGAATGCGGAAATTCTCATTTCTTATGCTAGTCGGTCAGCGAAGTGATCAAAAGTTCCGGCCTTGATTTGCCTTATCAACACGAACAAAAACCATTATAATTCATCACGGAGCGCAATAGGGACGAAAGATTGTACAGGTGATTTGAAACATTCACTGATTTCACGCGCTCAACACATGATTACATGGAATTCAAGTTATTTGAGTAAAACGATCCCTGCGCGAACTGCTAGGACAAACATACACGGAACTTGAACTCAGTGATGAGTCACTATATGATGAGTGGAAACATCGCCAGCAAACATATCCCATCAATGAAATCTCTGACTCATAGGTAAATTGACAAAGCCTGGATATCAAAATAATCTTTGTTGCAAGAAGAATTGTAGAAAGAAGCGAAATTCAAAGGGTAAATAAAAGACAGAGCAACTTTATTATTCAACCTTACTGCGCAATATTATTGAACTATAATAGAATCAAGATCTTTTTACTGTTTCACAGAAATTCTTGCTCGCTCATACAGTGCAAACAAGATTGTGAAACGATGTAAAAATGAATTTTTTTGAACAAAGGAGCTTATGTACGTCAAACCAAACTATGCAATCCTGAAAGTACAGTCTTCTTGAGAAAATTTAGTTAGACTTTTAGCCCACAGAAAATTGGGACTGGAGCAGAAAATCTGAAAAATATGCTCCTATAGATTTTCCCAAAACTCGGATACAATTCAAACTGATTTCGTCACAAAATGGATGTCCGAAAGCTCGTTACTACGGCAAAGCTCCCTGCAACAAATCCCCGCTTATTACATTTCTTCCAAGACAAGTTCAATGAAAATGTCAGTCATAGTGATGAACGTAAAATCCCGCAAAGCTTCGAAACTGGATTTGTTGTGATCCAGTCTTTTCTCGACTTATAACCGTGTCAGCTGTTGTCAGCTCTCGTAAAAAGAGATGACATCAATCATTATGTTCGAGGCTAGCGCTTCAAGAGAAATTTGCTGCATTCGAATGTAGCTATAAATCTCGAATTGAAGCAGACAAATGGTTCACAAATTCTCGATTCATTATTCAAGAATGGAATAGGAGGAAATAACATGTATGGTGTTCAGAGAAAATGTAATAAGCAACCGACTGCAGTATTTTCAGAAGAAAAAAGAGTGAAGGGAAATCACTATTGTGCTTCCATGAAATAAAAAAAGGATTCCTAACCCTCATACTAATAACCACAGCATGCACTCTTGCAAAAATCGCTATATATGGGAGTCAAGCCGCATATACAAATAGTTTGAGAATGTTGTAAACTGCAGCTTTAGATAACTAACGAATTCCCGAACAGATTTGTTAGGTCGCACGTGCCAATGGAAAACCATATTGAAAGACCACCAAAACCTAGAACCATATTTTACAGCTTTTTCTACCTCATTTTTTCCTAAATTCAATCCTCAATGCCCGTTCGCTGTGTTGCCATTTCTGCTTTTGCATTTCTTCCCGAAATAATCACATCATGTTTATTTAGCTGGAGTTGACGATCGGGCCGCACCATGCCCGACCTTGTGCGGAGGATGCCGAGGAGGAACCGGCGATAAATGCAAATAATCGCGCAACACTTTGAAACTACTCCCGAATGGAAAATATCAACAGTTTGGGCCGAAAAAAAGGAAGATCTTTGGTTGATTCACGTATCTACTGCACTGACACCATTAACATCGTTCATATGCTAATCTCTATCGAAAATATTTGGTTATTTTCAACGACAAAATCATTTTATCATTGAACTGACATTCTTGTTATTTTTGTGGAATCACGCAAACACTTTGTTTATAGTCCTAGTCTCAGGTTACTGTAAAAAGTGGTGTTTATACGCATTCCACACGTATGTCTGAAAAGATAACAAGAATAGAACATAACAAGAAGGGGGGACCACAGCTTGCTCGAAAAAATCCACAAAATCCCCAAACCTTTGCTTTGGCTACTTTCAGCTCCTTCCAGCGCAAAACATTGGGACAAAAACAAGAACGTAGCTAAAATTGCCAGTCATGTGAGATAACGTGTCAACAAAAGGTCCACGAATTCGTCGAGGATGATTACCTAGTATCTTATTTTCGCAATGTTATTCATATTCCGAGAAAGATGTCACTCTGACGAATGAGAAAAAAACGTACAAACATTCACAACGGCACAATGATTGAACACTTTTTTCTGATGCAAAGTTTGTCTTCAGCGACCGGTTTCTCTTCATCGATCTACGAGTCATTTGCACGTCCGCAACTACGAACTCTAGTACAAAAAAATTGTAGTACTTGACTTGATAGTGGAAATTACATAACTGATGAAGTTCTCGTAATCTCGAAAAAAGCTAAGTCAACATTTGTCAAAGAGAAATTTTCGCAAAAAAAACTGTTCAGTTCCGGATTTGGGTGCGTCGCTTATGATAAATTTTGAATCTGCGCTTGTATCTGATGTAATCCGATCTACAAAAACGAAATGAAAAAAATGCTTACCGATTATACAAATGCAAACTCCGACGATAAATTTGTATTCTATGTTTTTCTCTATCAAACATTTATCACAGGTCTTTTTTTTTCTTCAGGGAACACTTCAAACACAAAGTACTTTTTTTGCACCTTCTTTCGCGATTTTCGCACATATCTACAGAGAATACTGTAGCCTGCAGCTTGCAAGATTAGGCTTTTTGTTGATTTTTGGAAATTTGCAAATCTGTAGAGCAGCAGCAATACTCTCACGCGTCTTAAAATACTGCAAAAAAGTGCGAAATCATGAAACGCAAAACTTGACCTTAAAGGAATGAAATGCACATGCTCCCTCCCCCCCCCCCCCCCGCTTTCCCCCGCCGACAATTCAACAGTGTTCAATACCACTTTAAGGTTCAATTGATGTGTAGGCGTACATCAAACATTCCGTAGTATTTTACAGTCCGTACGCCCGTGGACTAAAAAGTGCTGATACCACATTATCATACGATTAATAGTCGGTGTTATCAGCCGTTTGTCGGGGAATCTCATGACGCAAGAAACAGACAGAATGATCAATAGCAAGTAGGATAGCGATACAATGGAGAAAAATGAAGAAAGACTTCGATGCGAAAATTAACAATTTACCTCAGCCTCGAGTCGCAAGATCAGCTCTTTCTGCCGTTCTAAAACTCGGGTGAACTCGAGCCTTTGGTCAAAATATGTCCGCGATTTTTTAATGGATGACCTAAAAGGTTTTATAATCAGATTACTAAAAGCCAAAGATATTAGCGACTCTAACCTCTGGTCCTTTTCCATTTTGCGTATCTGATCCGATAGCTTCATGAGGCGCTCGGAGATTGCGCGATGCTCATTGCCACTAGCTAGCCGCTCCTCTTCGGCTTCATTCACTCGTTGAATATGATGGTTGAGCACCTTAAAAAAATTTTCGAATTCAAAAAATTTGGTGTTGAACTTCGTAAAAGCAGCACCCCCCCCCCTCAAAAATTATACAAACATCCACAGAGTACCCTTTTCTATGGACAACACCTGCACAAACGAAGCTGCAAGCTCTGACCAGTTTAATCAAGCATTTATCCACAGCGTGCAATTCTAACGAGTCTACTCCAACCAGAACTTTTGACACAGCATTTATTTTACGCAGAAAAAGAAAAGGAACGAGCTCAACCGGATCCCTAGTTCCTTTTATGTCATAAATCAACAGCGTAAGGTCGGCTTCTCGAAATCGTTTCAAGCAAGATTAGGCTAAACCAAAGCCAGCTGTCTCCCCAGCTTCAAATTAGCATGAAACTTGTAGCAACGCGGATCTTCGACAACGACTTTTAGCAAAAATTCAGAAGACACCCTTCTTTCATGTAAGCCGCTATACTCGGAAAGAAAGAAAAGTGAATCATGTCACTGACGGGAACGGAAACGGATGAAAAGAGGTTTCACAATAGACTACTACTGACCACTATTGCTCAAGATAGATCTCATCCATATTGCATACGGAGCTAATATATGGGTTTCCACATACATGGTATAGGAAAAAACTTTTAAGCAATTGTAAGCAGTAGCAACTAAAATTCCAACACCTCACCCCTACCGCTAGTTTAGCATAACTGCCAAATTTGAGAATTTCTCACCTCAAGGCATTCTGGATGTACTGTCGTCTGACGATTCAAGCTGTCCTGAGTAAGAGCCACTTGTTGCTTCGCTACAGCTAGTAGTGAGGTGGCACGTTCGAAACGTATTGCTGCTCTTTGTGATTCATCGCGCAATTTTCTTTCCTGAAAAAGGAAAAGCATGACTTGAATAAAAAAAATTATTTTTTCACAAAAAACAGTAAAAGTAGAGAAGAAGAAACATCTACTCTTTGATTCGACTGGATAGGCGGCTGGAAGGCGGGGCTTTGTGACCTAACAAAGGCTAGAGAATGGCCAGAGAGCACGTTCCCGAAAGAGACGCAGACTGCGTCGCGGACGCGAGCGGTCGCATAGCCTTCCAGCCGCCAAACTCGTTGAATCAAAGGGTACAATCATTCAGTAATATCATTCAATAATCATTATTAAAAAAACGTCTAAGATTTTCCCAGATCACAGCCGCGAAGATAAAGCGCAACACACTAAATATACTTCGTTGCTGTTTCTACTGATCCCTAGCGCTTACGCGATTTATTGCCAAAACCGAATTGGTACTGATCTGTTAATCCGCACCCATCGTCATCGTTCATACGTCGGATATAAGGATTAGGCTGAAAATCATGGGAAAGCGAGCAAATACTATACTATAGAGAACCAGACACCTGCCCACGAAAAACGAGTCAGTAAGGCACATTTACGCGCAAGTATGTAGACCTAACTAGTTGCTCCCTCTCGTACTAGCCGCTCTCTTACTTTGTATATGCCCTGCATTTGATATAATATTTTGGTAATAGGAAGGAACGTTTTCGCATTCTCTCAGTAATGCGTCGCTCTATCGCAAAGAAGGAGACGCCGTTCAAACAATGAGCAATGCTTGAAGTTGACAATAACATCATCACATCGATGACGTCAACAGGGAAGGGGGTGGTTGATTATACCATGAACGGGCATCAATGCGAATCATCGCAAACAGGGTGTTGTTCTTGTGTACAGAATGCAAAGTGGAAGGGAGGGGGACATGGTCATAAAATTTGCTAGAGATAGAGGAAAGTAGGAAAACACCAGGAAGTGATCTATCTACAGTAGGATACACAGTGTTGACAATAAAAGCAGATGCGGTTACTTTCTACAAATTTTCAATATGTAGCCCACACTAGAATGTCACCGCTATCCTTTCGGTATTTCTTATGGATGTTTAAAAGTCGTCTACGTCTCAACAATTTTCTAATACTCATATATTCCTACTCATATATTTCAACAGATAACTCGCTCTTCACAACTTCAGCGTTACAAGAGAAGAAAAAAACTGTTTTATTATTTGATTTTTATATGAGGTGCAGCCTACCCACAATACTGAATTCAGGGAAGGTCGTAAGTTCAGATTCGAGTACAATTCTGGAGATCAAAAGGAAAAAGACTTGAAAGCTTAATTATTTTTTTATGTTTTTCATCATTTTTTATGATAATGAATTAATTTTGTGCTGATCAATACAAATAAAGTAGAAGTCTAATTTTCCTCGCACATCACTGGATTCTCAACAAACGATGAGGAAAAATCTTCCCGATTTAAAACAACATATGCAAATTTGCCGACAAATATGCCGAGACGGCATGTGGTGATGCGAGTGAAAAAACAGCTGCAGTGATAAAATGGCTAAAGGTGGATAGTATTAGAAGATGAAAGAAGAAAGTGATGAAGATAGAGGTGCGTAAGGATCGGAAGTGATGAGAATAAACAATATGCTTACTTGAATTTTCGCCTCATAGTAAGGCCTGGCTTTAGCAATGGCAGTGCTGTACTTCTTCGATAATTCTTTCAGCTTTTCAGACCATGAAGCTTGGATTTCCCTGGAAATAGCAGAAATAAATTGGCAAAAAGCCATAAATAATTTTTTTATCTGGAGTTTCACTTGACTATCTATCAGAAGAAGATCTCTCAAACTATCTTTCACAAATCACTTTTTTCTTCGAATGCAGATTTATTCGGTTTGCGATGCATTCTCTTGGTTCCAAATATTTTTCCCAAAGACAGGAAAGGTCTCTCAGAAAGCAGTTCGACTATATGTTCAAGAGAGAGACCGTACGGTTGGGTGTTTGTCTTGCGAGCTGAACTACAAACAAACATGCGAACGATGACTGTGCTAAGAAGCAGAAAATGCCGAGTTTCTCATACCATCTGAATGACGGCTACAATTCAAAAGAATGGCGATTCTCGCCGAATCAGGCTCAAACGAAAGAATGAATGGAATCGGTAGCAGTGGGGCAGAATTGAATAGGGGGAACGTTGAATGTCTATTGCATGCGCTCGTACGCAAAATGTGATGGTACGAGAGATGACGCTGTCATGATGCATTCGGTGAATTTACGGAAATGTAACTATCCGAGTTTGAAACTGTGAATTTAGCGAATTCCGAAGGCTTGAAAAATTTTTTGACGCATTTATTTTTTTCCCAAAAAAACAGATTTTCCTGAATGATTGTCTTTACAGGTTTTTCTAATTTCGGTCACCTCTGACGGAGGTGAAACAAGAAATCGCTGAACCGGCGATTGTTTGCATGCTGGTCAGCAGCAGCAGCAGCACTTACGCCGCCTAGGTCAATAGATGCGAATTCCGCAGAAAACCGACAACAATTCAGCGAACGCATGGATTTAGCAAAATAGAAATTCGTTAGAACAATAAATCCGCGACGCTCACCTAAAACAAGCTCTTGCGCCGTCCAATTGTACTTCGAGCTTATTAATGACATCAGTTGCGATGTTCAACTTCTCGAGCTCCTCATGCACTAAGTTCAGATGTTTCTGATCCAAGGGCGGTTCATCGTCCTCAAGTTCAGACAGCCCTAACACGCTGTCAGCACAAGAGTCTAAAAATTGCATATATCTCGAGGATTAACAGGAAATGTCAGCAATAATTTTCTTGTTTTCCACATGATTCATATTCTGAACGCCAGCGCACTTTTCTGACGCACTATAAACAATCCGAACATGAGATAGAATGTACGTATGTTAGTCACATAGGGGGATGGTACGTGAGTTGCTCGCACAAAGGAACGCGACCTTCATTCTGCGCTAAATGGCATAGGAGTGGTGGGGGAGATCAATTGTAATGGAAACGACTCAATGTGATAGAAAAGCGTGGTTCATCATGAAGCTTTAGCTTTGCGAAGATGAAAAAACTCGTACCGGAATGGATAGATAGTGCTTTGGTATTGCCGGCCAGGCCCAGTAGATGTGCGTCATCTTCGGCGTCAAGTTCCGGCATTGAACGAACAAATTGAAAGCGAAATACTTGTGACTATATGTGATAGGCACAACGACGAAAATCTTTGGGATTTTTAAGTAAAGTACAGCTGTGGAGATGCCTTCGCTGTTGTTCAAGAAAGAAGCATGAATAAATCCTGGAATTAGAGGAATTCTGACGAGTTTTTGAACTAGACATCAAATATTGAGTCATACTGAGCAAGCCGCGATGGGAGGAAGCGAAAAATAGATAGATAAGAGTTCATCACATTGAGAATCGATGATTATAGAAAAGAAATGTGGAGAAGAAAACTTTGTATAAGAGAGTGAGAAGAGATATGGCTTGCTTTACTGCAGAGAAAAAAAGCGCAAGCAAGCTGGATCAATTTCGGGGGCAAGCTGGAAGAAGCTGCGATTTGGAAGCCGATCGCGGTAGTCTGCGAGAGAAGACAGATGTGCTCTTATTAATTTGATCGATACGTATGCGAAACGATGCGACGGCTGAGGAGTGAAGACAACGCCGATTCACACATGCCCTTGTCGCTCTCACGTGAGGTGCGACGACCTCCGTGAGACTGGAAACGCGCATGTCGCGCGACCACCCCCAGTCGCGTCCTGGCCGGCTGGGTGAGAGCGCCGCCGAGGGGCGGACCACCCGAACACGCCGCTCGCGCCCAGTTACTGCCGCCTGCCGCCTGCACCACACCCGCCGCGACTGCGATCGGCTTGACCTATCACAAGATGGTAGCCGCGGAACGCACACGCCACACCTCGACCACCTTTACAACAACTAATCTCTTCTACCGGGGGTGGGGGGCTATTGAGTAAACAAAGTAACTAAAAGAAGCAAAATAATGTCGTTGTGAAATTAATTTGATCGATACAGAAAATAGAAAGAAAAAACAGAAAAAGAAAGAAATGAAGTTGAAATTGTAGAAATTGTAGAAATGAAATTTTTCTTCTACCTTTTTGACCCCTAGCGCAAATAACTAGCATTGAAAAAAACGCTTTAGCTCAATCGTAAAGAATCAACCACTCAATGACACGCACACTCACATCTATTTTGCACTGCCCATGCTTGTTAGAAAATTCTTGTGGATAGCAAAATTATACCAAAGTTTTTCTTTCCACATTTTTGCAGAAAAGGAAATGGAAAGCTAGTGCAGAGCACGAAGTGAATTGATTATAGCTGAATCTCTTTTTTTAAGCTAACTTCCTACAATGCAGATGCCACAACCTTTATAAACAAAGAATTCGAAATCGGAGTCACAGACGTAAGCAAAAACAGAACATCGAGTAAGCACATAATGGAAAAATATATCAACCTTATACTCCACTAGTAAGAGTAATCATTAGTATAAAAATATCAAGCTATTCCGCTGAAACCATAAAATAGCAGAGATGGGGCAAAAAGCTGCACACTGCGTGCAGAATAGGATTCATAGAAAAAAAAGAACGCTATCTGAAGCCTTGATTACGACAATCGCTACTTTATACTTGTGTAAGAAAAGAGATAAGCTTGAGAATACAACGAGAACGGCGCCGTTATCAATCTAAAAGAATTTCTGAGATATATTTTCCAAAACATACTTTCCCCCAACAAAGATGCGCTATCATCTTTCTTCAAGCGACATGTGTGACATTCTTCATGAACATCTGGTTTTGTCAGCTAGAGTTGGGTGAACACATGACACAAACATGCAGTACAACATGAAGTTGGTAACTTGGCTACTTGATCATTTGTTATGTGAGACAGGCATCGTTATTTAATTCAAACGGAAAAGGCACAACAAAACGAGATTTTTCCTGTTCGAATCTACATACTGAGCATATTCGAAGCATAGCAGTTCACTTTAAAGCTTACAGAATGCAGAAATTTTGGCTTGTTGTCTACACTGATCTATACATTTTGGAGAAAAAAAATATTGATATTAGGTTGGAAAAAAAGGATGTCTTTCTTCGGAGTTTCCCAGCTAAAATTGACATTCCTCAAAAACTAGGGCATATCCAAGGCCGAGATTTTATGCGCAAAAATTTGACGGTCTGCAGTATAACAAAGGCGTACGGGAGGAGCCCATGACTTCTGAGGGCGGAGTTTGCCATTTTCCGTTTTCAGTTCTTCAATATTCTAACACGAAAAAATGCAAGTGTACCTATGGATAAGTGTATGTGTCTGTTAAATGCAGGAGCAAGTGAGAGGTTCGTAGAATTTTTTCGGAGCGAAAATGCGATTTTTGGCTCGTGAGTTGTTCTTACTTTGGCTCCAAACTTTGCGTAAATCACGACTTCGGCCAATGATCATAGGTCATCATGTAGAGCTTTTTGCTTTATCGAATGGTACCCCATTTATATTTTTTATTCGTTTATGCTTTGCTAGGAAGAACGACATTCTTTTTATTCCAACCTAATAGAAAAAATAAAAAAAAAACAAGAAAAGACTAGGTAATGTATAGGGAAAGAGAGATGTTGGAGATTCTTCAGATTGCTATATAATCAAAATTCAATAAACGGCATCTCGTATGATGTTCCTGCATTTCTGTTAGATCAGATTCTAATCTGTATTCGGTTACGTAAACAGTGTTAGGGGCAAGAATATCTTAGCAGGAAAAAACAAAATCTGAAAAGATTTGCGTCAATCTGCACCAATATTATAGATGATAATTCGTGTGAAGATCAATGAATGACGTAAACACCGTTGTAGTGAGGGCAAATTTGCTTGATTAAATCAAATCCGTGAAAAATACGCAATTGACAGGCGAAAACAAGGATTATTCCCGAATTGTGAATGGCCCCCGTCAACCGTGAAATAATCCCTTTCACCCGGAATTATAGAGCCATGAATAGACATTTTTGAGAGTATTGAGGAAAACACCTTCGGGTAACAAACAACACATAAACTTTTACAGGAAAGTGTAAAGAAGTTAGAAAGTTGAGAAGTGGCGAGTTTCACTTACGCTTATTGAATTTGGTCGCACTGCTTTGTTCTGCAACCAATTATGAGAAGTCATAGATCAGAAAAAGTCGAAGTTTCCACAATTACGCTAAAGTTTGGGTTCTGAAGAAACATTGGAACGAGAATAATGACACAGAAGAGCAGCAACGAAAAATCACAATGCATGATAGATATTTGCTCGACACCATGAGGCGATTTCAAAGACGACATTTTGCGTGCCCGAGAACTGGCCCGGAAACTGGAACTTCATGACAAGGATCAACGAAAAAACAGCAAACACGTCGGTGACGACGTGTGGTAAGGCAACGAATAGAGCGCAGTGTATGAGAAGAGCCACGTCTTGCGCAAGAACAGGAAGCGCGCGATTCGCATATCGCCCGCGAAGTGCGAGCGGCGTCGTCGTCGCCGGTGACGTCGCCAAGCAACATATGGAGACGATGACGTCAGCGTCGCCATGCGTATTCCGGGTCTAAAACGGGGCGTGTCGGGAGCTGTTCGGCAAGGAAGACGATGTCTTGAAGGTTATGCGCACTCTGACATCTCGAAAGGAGCTTAACGGGACTTGGAATAGTCTGGAAAAACAAAGCCATAGGCTAGCATTCGAACGCCCGCTTAATTTACAAGTCAGTTGGGAGAAAAGTACATCGATGATGAAATAGCCAGGGGCGTTGTGAGTCAGGAATTATCGGCAATAAAGCCGCCCGTAATGATAAAGGGAGAAATAAACAAAAAATCGAAGAAACCGCCCACACAAGTTTCTCCACAAAACTGTATAGATCAAGTGTAGATCAACAAAAAGGTGTTTGATAAGTAATCGCTGACAAAGTAGATGTTTGTTCAACTAAGGAGTCTTCCGAACAGCAGCCCAAAGAGCTGAAAACCAGTTTTTCCTACATTCCCCCACTTTTAGCAATAGAGCTGCGAATTACTCTCTCCTATGAAACCGGATAGAACATATTGACTGCCAAGCCAACTAGGCACTGCTGCTGCGCGTTCCAATTTAGATTCAGTTCTAAGATTAAGGGTGTTTTGTCAAAATAGGAGCGCCTTGTCACTGCTGCTCTTGGTGCTAGGAAATGTAAAAATGCGAAATGCAGAGATGATGTAACAACTAATCATTTATGAAAACTATTGTTGGAGGAAGTGAGTAATAATAGAAAGAAAAGAGCATCACAATTCTATAGAAACGTTACTAATGGAAAGTGAATAATTTTTGATGCGTTACATTCCATCCTTTGTTCACGGATTATCTGAGACCATTAACAGGAAGATTAGAGCCACTTAAAATCGTTGGCATGCTCGATATCATGAAGGAGTAGGCGATATGTAAGTAAGTAAATAAAACAGAATTTTAGCATATAATAGCTGTGTTCTAACTATTGAAAAAACAGCGAAGATCTTTAATTCGAAAATTTTCCGGAAATGTTATATTCTGGCAATGAACGAGATGCGATACCATAGCCAATAGATCCGCTTTATAGAACGTTACTTCCACCCATTCACATCACATGCGTTATGCGTATGCAGTAGTCGTATGACAGACTTTGCGGACAAAAAATGTTCATAACTTCTTCTGGGACATTGTTTAGCAGAAAAGAACGACAGAGTGAGCTCTTCGAGCACCACTTAGCAGGGTGAATTGCCTTAGACGGTTACGAAACTCGTGACGAAGTGTAAGTAAATGAAAAGAAATACACAGACTTGTGAAAGTGGTTATCATTTATCAACACAAGAGTCAGCTGAGCGCAAACATTCGCTCAACTTATGGCAGTATGATAGCATTTCCGTAAATTGTTTATTATTCCTCTAGTGATATCACTGTGTCAGATGGTTTTGATATTATCGAACTTTTAGGCTCTCAGGTGCCAAA